CAGACAGGATCTATTGAAAAAGATCGGGACCCGACGACACAACCCTCTGACAAGTGCTCACCGGATCACTGGGGGCTGAGGCTCTCAATCTTTTTTTATAGAGACAACGCAGCAATGGCGGAATCGGAACGACCACTGGCAAGAAGGACACCAGCGTGCTGCAGGTCTGGACGCCACCCCCCAGAGGACAGAAGCTGAATTACAGGGCAGGCGGGACGGGACGCTTGAGCTGAACGTTGTGCTTCGGCGTCCATCCCCTTCTCTTTTGGCTTATACATTAAAATGCGGGGAACACCAGCTGCGGCCCCCGACGCCGGACAGGATCTATTGAAAAAGATCGGGACCCGACGAGACAACCCTCGAACAAGTGACCACGGGATCACTGGGGGTTGGGGCTCTCCATTTTCTATAAAGACGATGCAGCAGTGGCGGAATCGAAACGACCACTGGCAAGAAGGACACCAGCGCGCTGGAGGTAAGGACGCCACCCCGTCTGCAACTTCCCGAGTGGTGATCTGGCCGTTGGCCGTCAACTCCCACGCCTTTCGGAACCTCCTCGCTGTTTCCAATTTCTGAACCACCGATGCGAAATTCTTGGCCAGAGCGGCGCGCAACTTCTTAGGATAGGCGGCCGATAGAGCCGCACGTTTGGCAGGGGCCCCAAGGTCGCGACCTTGAAGGATAACATGCGGGCGCCCAGTGTGACCACAGATCCCCCACGGCCCACGCACAGGAGTCCCAAGCCGTCGCAGTAACCAGCCCCCCATCTCGCCACCGTCGTCGCCTTCCTCCACTGGGTACAATAAGCACAGCGATGGAAGTTGTGGATCCGACCGTCCTCGGCGCGGAGGAGGGAGGTCAGCGGCGTCGCGAACCAGATGATTGACGCGCGGGCTCTCCACCCGAACAGGGGCCCGGCAACGTCGGCACAAGCGAATTATTGTAATGGTGAATCTGAAGGAAGCGCTGCCAATGTCAACCTTTCGCTGGCGTTCGGCAGAGAGGCAGAGAGGCCCTGCACCCCCATAGGCTCGGGAGATGTGCGGAGGGTGATGCGAACCGCCCTTGGCCACGAATTGCAAGGAGTCCCCAAGAACACGCCGAATAAAGCATTCGAAGAAATCCAGCCTTTTACCACCTGGAGAGGGGGAACGCTTCAGGTGGTCTTCCATGGCTCCATGGCCCCAGTCCAAGAACGACGCCGCTCCACCGAGCCTGTGGGCGGCTTGCGAGAGCGATCCGCAGCCGCCGATGAGCTCCAGGGAGCAGCGGTAGCCCAACACGCGCCGCCCCTTGTCGGGCCGCTTGACCTCGACGCCGAGACGGCGGTGGAGGTGTCGGGCGACCTCGGCGTCTGAGGCGGTCAACGCAGCGGGCGCTTGGCCCCTCGGGCGGCGCCTCCTGGCAGCGGCGCCGGCGCCCCCGCGGCCAACAGCGCCGACGCGGCGGGCCCTCGCGAGATCCGGCTCCGCGGGTCCAGCAGCCCGCGCAGCAAGGCGGCCTCCAGGCTGGCTACCGCCGACTGGCCGAACACTACCGCCTCCGGGTGCACATGGTTGAGGATCGCCAGCAGCTTCGACTCCATGCTGTAACGGCGAAGTGAGGCCTCGCTCTGCCAGCGGCCCCCTTTGCACAGCGGCCAGCGGCCTGCGCTGCAAGGCGAGGTCCTCGGAGGCGCCGCCGTGCCGCAGATGGTGCAGACTGGGCCGCAGCGGCGACAGGCCCAGCAGCAGGGCGGCGCCGTCGGAGCGCGCCTTGAGGTCCGCCGGAGTGAGGTCGCACAGGAGCGCGTCGGATGCCAGCGAGCTCTTCAGGGCCGCCAGCGGTTTCAGGATGCACGGGTCGAGGTCCAGCAGCACTCGCTTGCCCCAAACGCCCGTCTTCCCGGGCACCAGCGTGGCCATGTCGCCCAGCAACAAGCTCCACGCGGCGTAGGTGGCGCCCGCTGTCGGCGCTGGAAGCACCGCGTGGCGGGCTCGCAGCCGGGTGGGCTCGCGAGGGCACGCATAGGCGACCGGCGCCAGCAACGGCAGCAACCCCGCGCCATGGAGGTCTCAATGGATGAACAGGCCTGCGATGGCCCCCGCCACCGCCCGCGGCATGGGCAGCCGCGTCTGCGCTGGCACCCGCCTCCGCCAAGCCCCCGAGCACCGAGTCGCCCGCGGCAGCAGCGCGCGGGTGGCCCGCCCCAGCTGTGGCAACCAGTGCCCCAGCGCCGACAGGGTTTGCGATCCCACGTCTGTCCCCAGGCCCAACAGGAACAGGTGATTCATGACGACGACCAGTACCGCGTCCAGCGACGTGACGCTCGTCCAGGAGAGGCTCTCCTGCCGGCAGAAGTCCACGAAGCGCTTCAGCACGGAGGCATAGAGCGCCTCCGCCGACGGGCGGATCGCCAGCCCCTCCAGCGCGCTCAGGCCGCCTAGAAGCTGGGCTGCTGGCTCACTGCCTCGAGAGCTGCGCGGCTCCTCTGTGAGGTCTTGTGGATGTTCAATTGTTT